GTCTGTGAATAGACTTGTATTAGCGTAGACTGGAGGGCTGCAGGAGAAATTGGTGAGGGGGTTGACTTTGAGATCCTTTCAGATCTTAGGGCCAAGGATGGAAGAGAGGAAGACTTTTCATCATCATTTACTCGGGCGTAATTTTTAGACCTTGCACACCAGCAGCTTTTTCAAAATAAGAAGGAGATCTTGCAAACAGTAAAGTAGTGTTTTCTCTATTCCCATCAATTTTTATTGTTCTCTGAAACCAAATGCCCTAAAAAGAAAAGTATTTTTTAAATTATTTTGCTTCTTAAAGCCAACAGTCATTAACAAGCTCTCTTGCCTTACATGTTGCTAAATGAATTAGATGAGTCACTTTTTTCACTTTTTCCAGAGTTAATTGAATACTTTAAGTCTCAGATGAAAGAAGATCCTGACATGGCCTCAGCAGTGGCTGCCATCCGGACATTGCTGGAGTTCTTGAAGAGAGATAAAGGTACAGAAGTTCATCTGTGAACACTCTGGGACTTAGGAAAGGCTTTTTTTTATTTTTTTTTAAAGAGACAGAGTCTCACTCTGTCACCCAGGCTGGGGTACAGTGGCATAATCTCAGCTCACTGCAACATTTGCCTCCTGTGTTCAAGCGATTCTCCTGCCTCAGCCTTGAGTAGCTGGGATTACAGGTGCACGCTCCCATGCCATGCTAATTTTTTTGTGTTTTAATAGAGACAAGGTTTCACCGTGTTGCCCAGGCTGGTCTTAAATTCCTGAGCTCAGGCAATCCACCTGCCTTGGCCTCCCAAAGTGCTAGGATTACAGGCTTGAGCCAATACACCCAGCCTTTTTTTTTTTTGAGACTGAGTTTTGCCCTTATCTCCCAGGCTGGAGAGCAATGGCGCCATCTCAGCTCACTGCAACCTCTGCCGCTTGAGTTCAAGTGATTCTCCTGCCTCAGCCTTTTGAGTAGCTGGGATTATAGGCATGCACCACCACACCTGGCTAATTTTTATATTTTTAGTAGAGATGGGGTTTCACCATGTTGGCCACACTGGTCTTAAACTCCTGACCTCAGGTGATCTGCCCGCCTTGGCCTCCCAAAGTGCTGGAATTACAGGCGTGAGTGTGCCACTGTGCCTGGCCAGGAAAGTCTTCTAATGACTCTTAGAAATGAAGAAAGTGAGAGATGCATGTTTGTCTGCGTAAAGTAATATAGTTCCAAGCTCAGCTTCTGCCTTCATTTCAGACCTTTCAATTGGAGAGAGCCTTAATGTTACCAAAAGGATCCTTTTCATAAGTGAAATATACTTTGAATCAAGGGTGATTATCTTATATCGTGTTAACCGTGCTTAAATTACAGCAGCAGTTCAGCTTTGTGTTTATTAGACTTCCACCTTGTGCCAGATTCTGTACAGATGCTACAGGGAATGTTCCAGAATAAATTCTGGTATTAGTGTTATTTATTGTGATGTCTTAATTCAGCATCCTAAATGTAAGCATCTGGGTATAGCATGAAATCTTGTATAGGCAAAATAACAATAAAGCCTTTAATCTGAAAGGCTGGCCTAGAGATACCCATCTCTAAGGCAACCTCCAGTGTCTTCCCATTGTTCTTAAAATGACATCCAGACAACCTTAGCCTCTCGCATACCACCTTGCAGACCTCATCTGCCCCTGCTACTTACTGTCTTTCCATGCCGTACCTCACTAAACTGTGCTTCAGCCCTCCTGGCCTCTGTCTCTTATACCAAGCTTGTTCTTACCTAAGGCCTTTGCGTTGGTACTGTGTCTGCCTGGAGCCTTTCCCACCGGAAATGTGGCTGGATGCTTTCTTACTCGAGTCTCAGTTTTAATGGACCCCATTCCAACAGGCCATTCCTGTTAACTAGACTTGCTCTTCATTCTGCTTTCTTCTTTTTTTTTTTTTTTTTTTTTTTTTTTTTTGAGACGGAGTTTCGCTCTTGTTACCCAGGCTGGAGTGCAATGGCACGATCTCGGCTCACCGCAACCTCCGCCTCCTGGGTTCAGGCAATTCTCCTGCCTCAGCCTCCTGAGCAGCTGGGACTACAGGCACGCGCCACCATGCCCAGCTAAGTTTTTGTATTTTTAGTAGAGACGGGGTTTCACCATGTTGACCAGGATGGTCTCGATCTCTTGACCTCATGATCCACCCGCCTCGGCCTCCCAAAGTGCTGGGATTACAGGCTTGAGCCACCGCGCCCGGCCATTCTGCTTTCTTCTTTCCTCGTTACAAATGTCTATAATTCACTTGTTTCTTTGCTTTTATTGTTTGCTTTTGTTTTTTGAGACCAGGTCTCCCTCTGTTGCCCAGGCTGGAGTGAAGTAGCACCATCATAGATCACTGCAGCTTCAGACTCCTAGGGTCAAGCAATCCTCCTGCCTCAGCCTGCCACACCCACCCCCATACCTGGCCGATTTATAAAATTTTTGTAGAGACAATCTCTCACTATGTTGCCAAGACTGGTTTTGAACACTTGGCCTCAAGCAATCCTCCTGCTTCAGCGTCCTAAAGGCTGAGGATTGCAGGTGTGAGCCACTGCACCTAGCTCGATTTCTATGTGTGCATGTTTACTGTCTGCTTCCTCTGTTAGAATAAAAACTCCATCAGAGCAGAACCCTGCCTGTCTTGTTCACTGATGTATCCTTAGCATCTAGAACAGTGCCTGGTATGTAGTATGTACCTAGTAAATATTCACTGAATGAATGAATGAGTTGCAGACCCAGGTTGGGCTGTGGTCCTAACATGAACATCACATTCCTTGTTGGATCATTCCAGGGGAGACGATCCAGGGCCTGAGGGCGAATCTTACCAGTGCCATAGAAACCCTGTGTGGTGTGGACTCCTCCGTGGCAGTGTCCTCTGGTGGGGAGCTCTTCCTTCGCTTCATCAGCCTTACCTCCCTGGAATACTCCGTAAGCCCCTGTTCTCCCTGGGGTTACCTTTCCACTTCTCCGTTTAGTGACAGACATTCTCAGCATTACATGGATCTTCCCTGTCCCCTCAGTGTGCTCTTTTCTTCCTAGGATTACTCCAAATGTAAAAAGATCATGATCGAACGGGGAGAACTTTTTCTGAGGAGAATATCACTGTCAAGAAACAAAATTGCAGATCTGTGCCACACTTTCATCAAAGACGGGGCGGTGAGTGGATAACCATCGTGCGTGGTAATGAGGAGCAAGGGCTTTGAGTTACGCTGCCTGGGGTGAAATCCTGGCTCTGCCACTCACTTGCTGTGTAGCCTTGGATGAGTTACTTAACCTCTCTGCACAGTTTTCTTCTGTGAAATAAGGGTGACAGTAGTACCTACCTCCCAGGGTTGTTGTGAGGATTAAATGAGGCAGGACGTGTAAGGGGCAAGGGGTATGAGGGCTTGGTTCTGTGCCTGGCACATAGTAAGGGCTGCGTGAATGTAGATCTTGTTATTAGAGACGGTTGTCATTGTAAACAGGCAGAGAGGGACAGTGGGACAGCATGTGTGATTCTTGATTTAATACAGTGTTTTACTAAAGAAGTACTTTCATGATTGTGTAGTAAATCTGAATTAAATCAACACAGAACAGCTCTCGTCGGTGGTCAACACTGAGGACTTTCTTAGTGAAGGTTAGCAATAGGGGGAGATTGAGGGAGATTTTCTTTTTACTTCATTTTAGATGCTGTTACAGAGATGTGAAGCTGCCAGGTGTTTGTAAGTGAGGACAGACAGGAGGTCTGAGCTGAGCCAGCCTCCCAGCACAGGGGTGATCAGACCTTCACATGCGCCTCCCGCCAGCACTCTTCCTTTTGCCACCTAGGCCTCCCCGACCATAAAATCATCTACTTGCATTTTGCCTCTTAAATTTTGTCCTTCATTTTATTGGCCCCTTCCCATCCTTGAAGTATGCTATTAAAGGCATAATAGATGTGAGTAAAACTTGTACAAAAGCCAGTTGCAAACAAAGCCTTTTTTGGGCAAGTGGAGGCAAGGTCGTGCTTGCTGATTGCTGGGGCCTTCTCCTTCCACAGACCTGCTGTGGCGTCAGAATTGTGTGGGTTTTCGTTTGCTCTAGTGTAGTGTGTGTGGTGTGTGTGTACTTCACCTATAGTCACCTACTCAGGACTGATTTAGACAATTTACAGCAGAGCTGCTCAGATTGGAACATGCAGAGGAGTTGGCTGGGGTCTTATTAAATGCAGATTTGGATTCACTGTTATCTGGGCTAGGGCCTAAGAACCTGCCTTTCTAACAGGTTCTCAGGCGAGGCCCAGAAAGAAGCTAGAGAGCCGGGTCTGCCGTCTTGTCTTACTCCATCTTCCACACTCTTCCTTAGAAAGGAGGTTATGGCGGCTGGGCATGGTAGCTCATGCCTGTAATCCCAGCGTTTTGGAAAGCCAAGATGGGCAGATTGCTTGAGTCCAGGAGTTCAAGACCAGCCTGGACAACATGGCAAAACCCCATCTCTACTAAAAATATAAAAAATTAGCCAGGAGTGGTGGTATGCTCCTGTGGTCCCAGCTACTTGGGAGGCTGAGGTGGGAGAATCACCTGAACCTGGGAAGTTGAGACTGCAGTGAGCCGACATCATACCAGTGCACTCCAGCCTGGA